ATAATGACCAGGTGCATTTTTGTGGTACAATGGAAAAAAGGTTCTCACAAAACCAAGCACCCCTCACCCGAAGTCCACCACCTGTCCACCCTGAGCCCTTGTGCATACCCCACTTGCACACAAAGAAGAAGCCACACTCACACATTTTTGAGTAATTTTAACACCCCACTCTGCAGCTCTATGTTTTCAGCCACTTGCAACTCATTATATTGGTTTTCTGGTACATGTATACTTGAGTCCCAATGGCTCTCACTGACCCCACATATTATAACTGGCAGCCACTCCTGGCTCATAAGCGCACACAAGCTGATTTTATGCTGCCTGTCTAGTGAGAAATGAAGGCTTGCTGAAGTAAACAAGTGACTGGTGAAGAAAGTGGAACCAAAGCAACCTAGAACCATTTTTCTCAGGAGTTAGTTTCGGAGACATTATATCCCCTAGTGGTCAGAAATATATTAATACTGCTTTTTAAGTTAATTAACTTAGTCCAAAATGGTGTATAAATAGGTGTCAGTAATAGTGTTGTAAATAGATTAGTTTTAAAGGTTCAGTGTATTTTATTTCACGAGATTCACGGCCACTGTATTTCCTACACGATTTGAAGGCTGAGCTGTATTCATGTGGTTCCAATCTACAACGTCACGCCACTAGATGCTATGAATCCAACACACGGGTCCTTTCAATTTGCTAAAAAAAAAAAAAAAAGCAGAGCACTCCACACTGTTTTACAATGTAACATATTCTGGGGAGTCTGTAAGGCAATATACTTTACTTAAACTTAGATACAAATGACAGGACAGGCAAACGCATTTAAGTGTTCATTGAAGTGCTGCAGTAAACCATGGCAGTGAGCCATCATGCAAAATGGAAAAACTAAATGAAATGCAGCCAATATTAATCTTGTTAACTACACCTGTGCTTTGATACAACATGTCTCCAGCTTGTGATTGCTGTTAAAGGAACACTTTGGGGAATAAGTTTATTGGCTTTCTTGCCCAGATTAGAATATTGATACCACTGTTGTATGAAGCAGCCTGTAAGGAGAGTGAAATAACAGCTAGAGGGTTCCTCTTATCTTTCTGAAAAGATGAAACTGTCTTCCTCTCAGCTAAATAATAACTACTACTACACAGTAAAAGTCCTTTTGGCACCCCTCTGTATTTGTTCGCATTTGCAAAATGAAATAATTATTGTTCTATTTTGCTAAAATTATGGATACAATTAAATGTTAATATCCCAAATACCAATTTTACTTAAAAATCTCAACAATGTTTCAGTTTTTCAGAAAGATTAATGTAAGACACACCCTGTGGAAAAAACATTCCAGTTTATCCAAACTATTGGTCGGTATATTGGTATAAAATTGGAAGGAGACTCGTACTGGTTCTGAAAGTATTTTCTTTACCAATGTTAATTCAGATTTGAAGGTTTAAAGTATGGCTTCAAGTCTTAAGCATGTCTATAATAATTATAATTTTTTAATGTCTTTAAAATAACGTTATCAGATTTTGATTCAAATGTTTCCAAATCCTGACTGGTGTTAGTTAGTTCATCTTAAACTCAGAGAGAAGAGCACAGAACTCTGGAAGAAAAGTCTGTGTTCATGCTAGTAAGAGGCCATAGAGAAAAAAAATCTTCACCATTGGTCGAATATTTCTTATTATCTAATATTTCACTTTTATGAATGCATAATTTAAAACAAATTCTGCAGGCTTGCACTGATTCCACACACCTGTGATTCAGTATGAGTTTTAGTTCATGTTTTAAGTCACACTGGACTGGAATTAAAATAAAGTTGTAACATATGTGTGTGTGTGTGTGTGTGTGTGTTTGGGGCTGTGCACCATCTCTTTGTAATCATAGGGTGCATGCGGGCCAGAAAAGGGGAAAGTCCTCACCAAAGACATCTACAACTATAATCTTCTGCCTGTGACTTTTGTTTTATAAACCTGGCAAAAAAAAGCCTTGATGAGAAACACAAACGATCCCCGTGCTCCACTAATGGCGAACCACGAGTGTCTCACAATCCCGCTGCAATATTGAGGTCTGGCGCAGGAGGGTGCAGTTCTCCGCCAGGTGCGCCTCCCTCCCCCCCTCCCTCCCGCACCTTCCCATCCC